CAGGCAGAGGAGGTAATGCTATTAGTCAGGAGCAAGAAATGCTCATCCCGTGTTTGGACCAGCTACTAGAAAGTGATGCGTGACATCCTACACCGACAGGATGAACACATCTCATTCTTACTGAGCCCTACAAGCATGTGGGGGCAGACTTTTGCCCACCCTATTTTTATTGAATCCGTGTGTTAGAGGCTTTGTTTTCACCGTGGTCAGCACAATCTCTGACTATACATGTCCGCACAAACAGGTGCAAACATCTGGTTTGCCATCCCCATCTGGATGTGAGGCAGCCGTGCCTTCACTGCTGAGGCAGCGTAACTGGGGCTCGGTGACACAAACAAAAAGGGACTTCCCAGCTGCAAGCACTTCACATCTGGTGAGATCCAAGTGAGTGCATGGCTGTCCCTCCCCATATGTGTAGATATATCAAATGTGAACATGAATTCAGTTAATTTTCACATGTTTGTTTCAGCTTACCCTGTCTCTGCGGAGGCCTCTCACAGCCCTCCTCCTTCTTGATCTTGCTGGGAAAGCCTGGATTTATTACAACTTAGACTCATACTGGGGTGCCAGAAGTGGGACAGTGGCTTCATAGTAGTATCAAGGAGAAAGACAAGCCAGGCTTGAAGGATATTCAGCCTCATCAACCCATGTTGTCAATTTATCAGTCACTGCCACAGAGAACAGGGAACCAGACTAATGGAAGGGGAAGGTTCCTTTAAAAAAACACCCAGGAGGTCATAAAATGTCACTTAAATCGGGAGGAGGGGCTTACTTGTCAGTCAGTGCTTTCCTGCTCACAGTGTCCCTGGCACGGCTTTTTAGATGAAAGCATCCCTAAATACAGTATCTGAGATGGGAAGTGATTTGATGCTTGCTCTTTTAACCAGAACCAAGGAAGAGGAAAAGATCAACGATTTCTCATACGTGTACTAAATGCACACGTTGTGATTATTCACATATTTTTTTTCCTGTGAGTATCTGGAAGTACCATTTGAAGCAGCAGCACAGCGGTCTGCTAGTGCAGCACCCAGGTGGTCGAGTGTCAGGAGAGGAAAGCAAGGCGGGGAAAAGCTACCTTGCTTTGTATCTGCATCTGTAAGTGCCCGGGAGGTTTGGGGTGCCTCGCTCCGTGCCAGGGTGCGGTGCTGTGCCGGGGCGGTGGCCGCGGGACCGGGCTCTCCTTCCTGTGCGCGGGCGGACCGGGACAATGGCCCGGACCTGGCCGGTGAATCAGAGCTCGGACTCGCCCTGCAATCAGCTCCACAGCGCTAGGAAACGAGCCACCTGCCCCGCTTCCTCTCATTTAACGGGTTTATTTTTAAGTGGGAAAGGCTATGAGCTTTGTTCCTTTTTCTCTGGGACTTTGTGTCCTTCAGAGATCCCTGAAGGTTGAGGTGCGGGTACGAGCACCTCAGGGACCCTCCTTCGGGAACCATGTCCTGGTGTCTTCACTCAGCACCGGGCACCAAAGCTGAGGTTATTCATGGGATACACATGAACCAAACTGCTGAGCAACTTGGCAGAGTCTCCTGATGCTATCTGAGCTTCCTTCCACCGCATTCCCAAAGAGAGCAGTGGAAACTGTTACTAAATAAAAAAAAAAACCAACCAACTCCTGGCTCTGCTGAGCCTGTACTGTCCATGCCTGCATCTGGTGACTGGTACTGTGGTCCTGGTGAGAGGTGAGGCTCTTGGGCTGGGAGGCAGCACCATTGCAGTTAGTTTGATCTGGACTTTTGCTGAGATCTACAGCTTTTTAGGCTGTAAGCCTGCCTTACTGTCCATTTGTGACCATACACTCTGACACTTCTCCCACTGTACATTTTGTGTGAGAAAACTGTGAAACTAAGGTCTGTCTACGGATCAGTGGTACTTCCCCCATGGGGTTACTCCTCTCATGAGTAGGATTTGAGGTGCTCCCAGACTGTGAATCAGCACAAAATAGTCCATCTCAGATACTGCAAATCTGAATTTTCAGGAGTGTTCCTTCAAAAATCAGCTCTGGATACATCAAAGTGGTCTAATGTAGTAGATGCTTCTTTTCCTTATTTTGAAGGAATATGTTGTGTTTGTGCTCTTCTATTTGGCAATTTCTCAGCCTCCATCCTGCACTTTATTTGTCTATGGGAAGACAGACATGATCTAAGTCCTGCCTGGGTGCTGCAGGTCTGGATCTGGATCCCAAATGAGATGCCTCTATGAGATGATACGGTTTCTGGGACCTGAACTGGTTTCTGTGGCACAGCACCACACTGTGTAGATGTGCTGGTTTCCTCATATGTCTATCTTGGGGATCTCCAGCACATGTCAGCATTAATGGTGTAGGCATGCCTATGTTTGCAAAGCACCAGCAGTAATTAATGATTAAGTAGGAAACAAAGGAATGCATGTAAGATCCTTTCTTAGAGCAGTTCAAGGTCTATCCATGCTTACAGCCCCCTCCTTTTATTCTACTCTTCTCTCTGTATATACTAATTTGAAGCACCAATTTAGCTATTTAAGCGTCAATTAATCCATGTGTTTCAACCTGCTTGGCCATCCTCTTTTTTTCAGGTTAGAATAGCTTCTGGGAGGTGGTTCTTTACCTCTCACTGAGCTTTTGCCAAACCAGTAGTATTCTCAGAGAGGAATGTCGAGTGCTTAACAACAATTAGTTTTAGTCAGAGAGAGAAAAAATAGCACACCACCACATGTGTCAGAACAAAGCCTGTCTGTGTGAGATTTGGGTGGATTTTTATCCTTCAAGCACCACTTGAAGGATATGTACATTATACCTCTTTCTGCGAGGAAGGGGGGGGACTAAGGGAACTCTCCTAAAGCTAGAAAAGATGCACATTTCACCTCTACAAAGGTGTGCATGTAGGTAATGGGAGAGAATGGCCCTGCATGTCCTTCATTTTTACATGGTTATCATCGTTTGCAAAGCTCTGCAGATGCAGAAGTAAAGATAGACTGGTCTGAATGTAAAATACCAAGTCTTGTCACTTCTGTGATCACAGAATCACAGAATCACAGAATGGTTTGGGTTGGAAGGCATCTTAAGATCATCTAGTTCCAACCCCACTGACACAGGTAGGGACACCTCCCACTACACCAGGTTGTTCAAATCTCCATCCAACCTGGCCCTGAACACTTCAGGGACGGGGCATCCACAGGTTCTTGGGTTTTCTGGGCAACTTGTTTCAGTGCCTCACCACCCTCACAGTAAAGAATTACCTATCTTCTGTGCTAAAATCTTGGTGGTCTTTTAGACATTTAAATCCTGTTACAAGGCCTGAAGTTTTCTCCAATGAACGAGCCGGAGGTCTGTGACACCCATCTAAACTCAACAGATTTTATTCTGGCCTTCTAATCTTTCCTCTCTCCACCTCTTCACCCTATTTTTAAATATCCTTGTAAATTCTTACTTCAGCCATTGTTCAGGAAGCAACTAACAATATTGCTGTAAACCATGTAAACAAGGGAGCATTGCACAAGGGCAATGCCTGTCAATATTCTTTGGTATTTCTAGCTATGACAGTTTATTTCTCCTTTCTTGAATACCTTTTTTTTGGACTTAACCCTTTCTTTCCCTTCTAATGTTTGTCTTCTCCCAGCTGATAAATGTAGGGTTCCAATCTGTTTCTTACAAAACATGAACAAGCCTGGTTTTTCTCATTAAATTTCTCATTAGCATAAGCACCACCACCTGTAACATTCATTATGTGAGCAGCAGTATGATGCTGGGAGCTGGGTATGTTAGATAACCCATATGTCCTCTTAGAACTAAATGCCAGGATGGAAAGATATTGCAAGTTCAGTTTTCAGGACAGGGTTTGGGGTTTTTTCTTCAATTATTTTGCAGGAGTACAATAAAAAATAACCAAGAAAACACCTCTAAAGAGGCTGAATTATGGAGAAGACTGAACTCTGGTTCATCTTGCATAAGGCAAGCAGCTGTGTGACCATGCAGGTCTGAAACCATCTGGTTGGTAAGACTGGGTAGAGTCCAGTTAAAGAGGAGAGTCTTTTACTCAAAGTTGTGCAATTTATTACTTCACTGTATGTTCTCTAGAAGAATACAATACATTGCTGTAATGATAACCAGGAAAATACCTTGAGGTTTTAAAGCAGGACGCAGTTCATGCTGGTTATTGAGTGATAAATGATACAGACTGCACTGAAAATCTATACAAACACATTATTTCAGCTAGCACAGCAAAACATTTCAGATATAAATTAAAAATAACTGCAGTCTTGTGGTCCTTGTCAGTTATTTACAAGCCTCTTGAAATATTTCCTTATCTGCCTTTCTCATAAGAAATTAGGCAATTAGAGTATAAGTCTGAAGCCAGAGAATATCAAATAGTGAATCATTATGGCATCATTACATGGGAAGTAGTAATGAGGGGAAGGCCAAAAGAAAACCCAAAGGTTTTTCAGCTTCAGGAAATCTATTTTTAAATGAAATAAAAGCCTTAAATAAGTTTAACGTAATTTTGAGGAAAAGGCAGTTGCACAATGAAGAGGTACTTGCAGCTTGAAATTCAGCTTCACGCTATTCAGGATATTTCTAAACAGGAAAGAAATAATTGCCATGTCATTGAGCCAGTCACAAATCTTTGTATAGGGGAATCTTTCATTAGCGAGAAAGAAATGTAGTCTGGAAGCCCACTGATTCAGGAGTTTCTGAAAGACAAGGAAAAGAGGAAATGTTTCATTTAGATGTGGATAGGTAGCATCAATGTATATGCATTCCTTATTAACTTTAATTGCACAGTATGTGTATGCTTAATATTTTATTTATGTATCTGTGAAAATATATTGCTGTGTAACAACTGCATCACAAGAAAGCCTTTCAGGACCAATATAGCTGGGATTTTTGCTGTCAGGGGTATTTTTATTTTGTTTTGGTTTGTTTTTTTCTGAATTTGGATGTTGTCTGATTTAAGCTTTTCTCTTCTGATTCAGAAGCATCATTTCAAGATGCTTAATGTGTTTGGTTTTTTTTTTCCAGTGTGAAAATTCAAGCTTTGTTAAAAAAGCATTACATTCCTTGCAAACAAAATCAGACGTTCAAAATACTTTCAGCTCCTCTGGACATCAAAAGGAGGAAGGATCAACAAGTCTCTGGCTTTGTCCTTATTTAACAATATTAAGGTAACATTTTTTGACATTGTCCATAGAAAACTGGTTAATGTCTGCAGAGCATTGCTCCAAAGAGAGCATCCAGTAAATGCAGATAAAATGAGCTAGTGGTCTTCAGGAAAGGAGTTATTGGTGTCCTATTCTGCTTGTGTTCTATAGAAGGATGAAATGAGGAAAGTGATGCCCACACTTGCCAAAAATTGCAGGCTGATCATAACAGGCAGGACTGATGGCTTTGATTGCTGAACTCTTCACACAGTCCTCTCCTCGGGCTGCACTGATGATCATCAGAGCAATGGGCCATCACACCTGGGAAATTCTCTGTCATTAAAAAAAAAAATTGTCCATTTTGCTTTTTAGTTCAATTATTTCTTCTTTTAAATAAATTGTGTCAAAGCAGGGCAAATTGGGTAGAAAAGACACTATTTGAACAGACTCAGCTTTGCTCAAACCAAGTGACTCTTTTAAGGACACCTTTGTATCCTGTACTTAATATTGGTGAGTCCCAAGAACACGATTATCTTTGAGCACCTACCTGAGTTTCAACCTAAAGAATGAGACTTGGAAACCTAATATTTTTTCCAGACCTCAAATGTGCTGTAAGGCAATAAATGGCTAAATTTTCATTTTGTGAAGTATGAGAATGCTCTAAGGCAGTTATCGTAGTTCAAGAGATGTCATTCTTGATTTGAGAAATGACAGGGTTGAGAACTGAAAATTTTGGGTAAATGGAGTATCAGGTCACCAGGTCTACATGAAATACAGTTGAAAAATGTATAGGTAATAATAACAGCTGGCAACGACGTGCCATTGTTCACAAAGGGCAAGCTATAACAAATTCAGTCAAGAAAAGGCAATCCTTGGTGCTACTCTGAAAGAAAGTATTAAAATCAGTTTTAGAATATTCAGGTTGAGTTCAGAATAAAACATTTACTTCTATTAAGGATGTGAACATTTTAATATCAGTATTTAGCATACTCTTTTATGGACTCACACTATTTACAAATATGGTGAGAAACTTCCCACCGTCCTAGTGAGAGGTGAAGGCAATAGAGATGTTGAACAAAAGGACCAGTAGCTCATTTTCCAGTTTAGAAATACCAAACAGCTTCTCAGAGCAGTGGTATTTATTTCCTTTCTTGCATTGTGCCTGTCTTGAAATCCTTTTCTCTCCATAGTTCCATCAGCTTCACTGTGTTTGTTTTATGAAAAAGTCTAAGTCACGAATTTGAGTGGATAACACTAACTTGCACGTTTTTAAGGGCCTGAGGGAGAATGTGGATTCATTATGCAAGGTGGTGTCTAAACACGTAGCTAGGACTTACAGTCTGAGTAAATAAAACAGCAACAGAGAAGTTCAGTGACACGCAACAACCCATGAGAAGAAGCAACAAACTGGAACCAGTCCAGCTGCTCTGACATCTAGTCCATTGCCTTTTCCACTGGCTGTTGCTGCACTGACATCTTGGATTGTGCAAAAAAGTATTGGATGATATATACCAAATGGGAGGCTTATCACAGTTATCTCTACAATGTCTGGCACGAGAAAGATTTAAAAAACAGACATCAAATTACAAAGGCATAGCTGTATAGTGAGCGTGTCTGTTCCACACAGTAATGTGCTTGATTATTGTCAATGAAATCCTCATGCTGCTACTCACCTCCACCTGCCTCAAAATACATCGAGATCAGTGCCTAGATTTACTTCTTGCTCTCAGTCTCAGGTGTAGCAATTAAAGAAATGTTCTGTATTGCTGAGAACACCAGATGTGTGCAGTGGAGCGTCCTATACTGACAAACATTTTGCTTGTAATAGTTCCTTTGGGTACCACAGTGGCGTCTGGTTTTATTTTTCTGTTTATACTTCATTTTTCTGTTTTATGGCACTGTTTCCTTGATGGGATTTTTCAGTTTCTTTCCTTGGAGAATGGTTTGGGGTAGCATGGATTATGGCACAGCAGCATCAAGAGTTGTCTCCTGTTTCTGTTTTCAGTTTTTAAGGTCATTCTAAGCTCTTCCTTTCAATGCTTCTGTATAGAATAAGCAATGAAAAATGTGCACTGATTCCGAAATCTGAATCGTGGATCCACGCTGATGTCTTCCTGGATCCTCCTGATGTCTTCTTGATTCCTTTTGATGTCTTAAAAAGTATATGACAAGGTTTCTTCAGGAGCAAGGTCAAGGAGCAAGGCTTTTTAGCCACAGAAGTTTCAAACCTTCTGTCACCTGCACCCTGGAGGTGGTGGGCACCTAGAAGGTGGCAGGTGACTCTCACTTGAAGTCTATATTTGCAGATTTTCTCCTCCAATCTAACTATCAGCTGTTTTTTCACTGCCAAGTGGAACAAGATGCTGAGTTGTAATCCCCGTGCTGGAGTGCAGCAGCAGGCATATTCTAGTGATTTAGAGAAATCTGATCTATTTTTCTCTGGGATATTTCGTACCAAACCGAGAGTGGATATAACTAGCTAAGAAGAGCCACAGACTATGTTTATTCCTGGAAGTAGAGCAGAAAGTCTTTCCTGACCTCTGCAAGTGATTATCTTTACTTCCTAAAGGATGGAAGTTGACTACTTTGGCTACAGTATGAGCAGTTTTGAACGTTATTCAGTGTGGTGAGTGCTGTATCTTCAAAATAATACAGTCAGGTTAAAAACAGATCTTCACACACTTATTATTTATGAGGGATGTCAGGTGTATCATGATACCATGACCAATGGTGTCAGGGTCTAATATGGGAATTCCTTATCTTGCCAAAACCTCATTTATTTAGTTTTTTTGAACAATAGTTCAGGTAAAACCACGATAAGCAAAAGATTAAAGCTCTGTCAGGTAAAAAGCAATGCTGTACTATTTCAACTATCCTAGTTTTCAAAAGAGAATGAAATATGCAGTAATTCACGCAGACAACATAAATATTGAATAACCATTGCAATGGATTGCATAAATAGATAGATAAGATGAATAAAAACACATTTGATTTAGTCCTCTGCTGATGGTGCCATCAGATTACAAGGACTAAGCTGTCTACTGCAATGTTACCCATCGAATAGCTATAATTCAAACCTTTCCTTTTTTTTTTTCCTCTCAGAAAAACAACATAGTCATGATAAATAACAGCCTTTACATCGTTTTGTTTCTCTGGAGACTGATCCTGATCTTACCTATCTGATTTCATGCACATGAATATTCCCTTTGATTAAGGTAAGAAAGTTTTTCACATCCATAAATCATTGTGGGATTTGGAGCCATGATGTGTCAAATTAATTACTGACCTCACTCAGTTACCTATGCATCCACTTGGACTGACACCACATGATACAATTTGGGCATAAATTTGGAGTGAGAATTCTTGAAGCACAAATAGGAGCCGGGATCCCACTGAGGGTTCATTGAGATCAGGTCCCATGCTATCCTCTCTCCTCCTGTCTTGTAGGGATGAGTATTTGGAGGGTGGAAGTTAACAGGCATTCCTAACTATGCATGGCATCCTACTCCTTAATGCTGACACGAATGGACTGTTTCCTAGGAGATAGCTCAAAATAAAATAAATTATTTGAGAGATATTCATGTTAAAAAATTCCACGGAGTTCATCTTTACAGAAAACTCCTGTTACCAATTACCTGGCTATGGATCAAGGCTCCAAGATGTGGCAGATACGATCTATTTCCCTCTTCACTGTGTGACAAAACCTGTGTGGTCAGACCCCCAAAATCCTTTTTCCTCTGTCTCACTGCCAGTTATCTGAGTGCTGCAGAGCCCCTGCACTCCTGCCCTCACTTTTGGAGGACCCTGGTTCCAGTAACATCTCCAGCAGCCTGGGGATAAGTGTGAGTGATGTTAGCAGGAGGTTTTCTCGTTGTTATCATGGATCCAGGGTGGTACAGTGTGCTTCAGGGCCCAAAACCTTGAGGCTACAGTTTGTTATCCCCATTGTGGATTTCAGAAGTGATAAATCAGACCTTCTGCTTTGATTAGCTTTCCTCCACCTCCAGTGGTTCTTCAGATTTCATCTAGTGAAAGAATTGCCCATGAGCTGCCATTGGAGGTGTGCCTCTAGGAAATATATTACCCGAATTAAAATGTGCTAATTCAGAAATACCTTTCCCACCTTTTTTGTTGCACTTGTTAGGGAAAAATGCTCCTCTTTAACCTCCAGCTAACTGATTACCTGCCAGTTCTGAAGCTGTGCTCTGAATTAATCTGCTCCAAAAGCCAACAGAGATGACTTATGTTTGGGCGCCCCACGGGAAAGCAGGGAGATGAAAAGCCTTAGCAAAACTTTGACAAACAACTTGGAATGTTTGACCAACTATGCACAGCTGCTGCTGAATGGAGAATGCAAGTAACATGCCAAACAGAGACAAGAGGGGATCAACGGGGAAGGCAGCTTTGGTATCTGCACCAGACATTTTCCTTTCAGGGAAGGAGAGGAAATATGCTGAATTACCTGTAGGAGGTGTGCATGCTTTTGCTAATAGACGTGCATGGTTAATTAATTCCTAACCAGTCAGATCCTGTACCAATGTATGATGGAATTCCCTCTGAGGTCAGGGGAGATACACCCATGCACAGCACCTTAATTTGATTGATTACATCCCACCCATTCAAACATGCCTTAAAGACTTGTTTGCAGAGCTGAACCAAAACACCTCTGCCCCTTCCAATTCCCGATTTGAGGCGATAATGTCTCCTCATAAATCCTGGATACGATAGCACCAGCATGACCCATCACTTCATTACACCAGAGCTGTGTAGTGCACTGAGGAGGAGTTTATCTGGTCAGAGTGGATCTGGTCCAGGAACAAATAAAGGAGTTAGAAATCTGATTATTTCTGGGCCAATTCTGTATGAATTACAGCTTCTCAATTTTCCTGCAGTCAGCTAGTTTTACTTGCTCTATTTTCCCTACCCACACAGGAGGTGAAGTATCTGGCTAGCACAGACATCTTGATGAGCTGCTGTTGTCAGGAGAGCCAACCTGAAATTCAGATCAGGCTGGGATGAAACCTGCCATATTCAGTGACATTTGAGCTGCATGTCTGCACTGCTTTAGACATGAGTGATAGGGGAAAATAATTATTTCTTCTATTTTATTTAATATTTCAAATATTTATTTTTTATTACTTCCTAATGATTTCAAAGATAGCTGTTATTTCTTGGCCTTGCACTACCTTGTTTTGTCTGATGTTATATATCATTTGTTTATTTCTTCCAGGGCATCACTTTTTCCATGTATTTACTGAATGGTTTATATTTGCCTAAAGCACATCTTTCAGAAAGAAATTCAGATTTAATTCAATGATTGCTGGAATTTCCTATGTTTTCCAAAACATTAAAAATTACATCAGCGTGTCTTGAGCCTCCCCTTGCAAAATTTTTCTATGATTCTCCTGTGCAAGTTCTGCAGACTTGATGGGCTTAGCAGACACAACTCTTACAGGTACTCACTGAGGTTTTAAAGTATTTTATTGGTCTTGAATGTAAAGTGCAACTTTCCACATACAGGACTGAGGTATTTACTGATCCCTTTTGTCTGTTCTGCACATTTAAGTTGCCATTTTCAGGTAGGCTGATGCTTGCATGGAGGAATTGTGAACTATGGTGGTTTTCAGCAGAAAAGGAGACGTTGCTAAGGGGAACTTGTGGATGTATGTCCTTAGCTGCAGCACGGTGACAGCTCTTCAGTTACTGCTTTTGGCACCTCTCTTTAGTCTGCGCCTGCTCTGAAGTTCAGAGTAAGCAAAAATTTCATTCCACAGAAACGCTTTTAACCTTTTGTGAAATTTCTGTTTAGTTATCAAATTTTCGTTTGAGTTTTTCTCATGCAAGTTTTCATTTGATTGGGAAGTACTTCTGCAGGGCCTTATGGAAATGTTGCCTGGGTGTTTTGTCGTGCTCCCTCCCAGGTGAGTGTCTGCCTGGTCCCAGCATTCCCACACCTCTTGGATGTGCATACTCCTGTGCTGCAAACTCAGAACTGGTGAAAAGCTAACTTGCTTGCTTATTTAATTTAGTTTCAAATTCTTACCACACTGGGGAATTAATCCTTTTCTAGGAACTAAGGATCAACATACAATTTTTACTGGTATCGGTTAACACTGGTAGCTAAGTACCAGGTGGCATCTTCAGCACTTTGCAGACAAATTAAAACAAATGTCTCCTATTTCAGAAAACTGATTGAAAATGAGTATAAGGGTTCATACTCTGGGAGCTGACTAAGACATGAAGGACATAGTGTGAACCCTCATTGCAGACAGCAGTCTGGACCTCCTTTGCCTGATCTCTGTTACCCCACAGAGTTTTTGGCTCACGGAACAGGAATTTCCTAGAGCCAAATATTGAGAATAGCTTGGGGAAGAATTATTACCCAGCTCCAATGTGCATTTTGAGGTGTTATGGTGCTGTTGTTCAGAGGTGGATGTGTGCAGACCCTAGTCTTGTCCTCCTGCTAGCCTCCCTAAACAGTCAGTGTAGATGTCCTGCTGATAGGGATGGGAATAATAAAATCATCAAGGTTGGAAAAGACCTCCAAGATCATAGAATCCAACCTTTAGATTGAGTCCACAAGGACAAGTCATTGCCCTAAGAAACTGCACTGTTAGACTTGTGTCAAGTAATTGAGTGGAAAAGCTCTATTACTTACCCAGCAGCCACATTAACTTAGTTAACTAATTTCTAATCAGGTAGAGGTTTAGATGGAATTTAGAATAAGTATTTGGATTAAGAAAGGACACTTCGGCTTAAAGCTGTGCCTTTTCTGTCATGCTCTCTGAGAATGATGGTGTGGGGAGAAGAGAGTTCATTGCCAGGCATTTTCCTTGTGGGGAAGTGAAAGGTCTTTATCCAGGTGCAAGGGATAAAAATCATACTTTATCACACAACAGAAACATGAGCTTCACCAGTTCTCCTTTCTGTTGGCAAGACAATGGTGCTCTGTGCATAACTTCCCCTGCAAAATTCAGATAGTGGTAGAAGGTATCACATATACCAGCACAGCGTTTATGTCATGGAGATGATGTCTCAGACCAGGACAGGCTCAGTTCTCAGCTGAGGGTGGGAGGAAAATCCTCTGGATAAAAAAAAATCTAGAGTGTTTTTGTTGTGTTTCCTTCCAAAATAGGTGGCAATTAATCCATTCACAATCTTGTCCTTTTGTCTGTTGTTCCTTAGTGCCAAGAATTCTGTGTGTGTTTTTTTACAACACATACCAGTGCATCTTTGAATTTTTGAATTAATATTTTTCTCCTCTTAAAATTAGACTTGAAGTCATGTATTCTGGAATGATGACAGCCTAAATTTGTTATGAATGCCTAAAATAAGATTTTATATTCTTATTAATAAACTCTTACAAAAAAATAACAGTTGAGTATATATTCACTGCCAAAATTCCGAAGAATGTCAGCTTTCTAAAGGGGGGAAATTACTAACTAGACACCTGGAATTGGAGTTTCTTGAGTCACAAACTAGCTTTTGACAGCTGCAGCCTTTTTTGCAGGTGCAAAAAGAACGTTTTCTTCTTTTTGTTTTATCTACTTTACATCATTTAATGACTAGAGTATTCCAAATTGAGAGAATAACTGGGAGTTGAAAGAACAGGAAAATTTGCTTATCCTTTTCCATCTTGTGAGTAAAAGGTGTGGGGGGGAGAGTTTGAGATCAGCCAATTCTGATCTTGAAGAACATGGAAGTAAGGAAAAAATAGCTCAGCTGGTTTATTGCCGATGATATTTGCACTGTTCAGTACATCAGCTGCCTTGAAATGCAAGGAATATTTTGATAATATTTCCTAAAATATGCAGGACACAATGTAGTTCCATTTAAACAATTATGTTCTTCTGCATATTTTTGTTCAGAAGCAGCATGACACAAAGCACACATTAAAAAGCTAATCAGGTGACTAAAACCACCATGTCCTGTTTTCTCACAAATCAAATGTAAAAATCAAAACCCAAAATAAATGCTTAGGTATATAGTGACGTAAGTGTGGCTTTAGTGTGTTCTCTTAGTTAACAAAAACAAATACTAAATACAACCTCAAAGCTACTTTTCTTTGCAATTAAACATTTATATTAGTTGTCAGTCTCTGAGATTAACTCTTTGTCAAGAATATCTGTTAGAAAGCGCAACTGCAAAACAAATTAAATTATTTAAATTGTGTTTTAAATCACAATTAACAAAACTGATTCAAATCAAATTGATATAAATTGGTCCATCCTGCTTTAAAACTAATTAAGGATGTGCCTTGAAAGAATGCTTCTGTCAGTGCTCTGACTCAGTGGGTTCTCTGTATCACTAAAGTTTTAATAAATCACAGCAAGGGATGGAATTTTTATTTAGTTCAACAGTCTCGATCTCTGAATTTAAGGCCACTGAAGAATAGATTAACATTTATAATTGCTAGGTTGATCAGTAATGCAAATTAAAACTAGGGATTTCAAAACAAATTAACCTTTGCAGTACATCATGCAGAGACAGACAGACAGGGATATCATTGAGAAGGTTCCCCTTGTCCTTGAAGTGATTTGTCACAAATCACTGTATCCTTTGTGGTGCCTTACTGCTCTGCAGCCTCTGGGGTTTCAGTGTCCAAAAAATAAACTGTGATAACTGAAAGAACAACATGGACAGTTTGAGGCTGGCAAGTCCCTGCATGGGCTATCACTGCTTTGCGTCGCTCCAGGCAGACTTGTATATTTTGGGACTAAGATTAGGATGCTTAGGCTAGGGCCAAATGGATTTATAATTAGATATGTGCAGTCTATGACCTATTAATTGAGTCTCATGGTTCCCTATGTCTACCCTCCACATTTAATGAGACTGTGATTTAAAGCAGTCGAGGGAAAATGGACCTCCTGTACCCACACACTTTTCTGCTTCAATCTGCCCATCCTGTGCTTTGCTGAGAGCCTTTCACTGCTCCATCAAGAAGCAGTTAAGGCTTTCCCCAAAAGCTGTCCCTCTTTGAGATACCACATGAATAGAATAGGACAGTGTGTCAATATAGTCTGTGTTGTATTTATTTATAAAATTAAGATCTTAGATCCCATCTGGAGAAAACTACCCTATGTGATCCACAGCATCTGTGTATTTGCCATGTTTCTCTTCAGGCAGAAAAGCAGTCATAACTGGAGAAGATGGAGTGGATTTTGATGGCACAATGTAAAATCTGAGGAGATCCAAGACTGTTCCTTCCATGCTCAGACATTAAGGGAGATGCAGATCCCCATGAAGGGATGTCCAGGGAAAGAGTGGGACAGTCTAAGGCTGGACAACCATGGAAGGAATTGAAAAAGTCATGGTATCACTTATGAGAGCAAACAGCTTTGATCTCTTCTCCTGCAGGTACATCAGCTCCTGGAAAGCTCATGTTAATCAATGTAGCTGATGCAAGAACTCCAAGCTTACTGCCTGGTAGTGTCCCAAGGAACAGGAGACAAGGTAACTACACTTCAGTGTAAGTGTGTAGTATGTGTTTCTGACATGGTCCACGGGCTCCTAGCAAATTGCCATTTTCACATCTGCAATGCTTTGCTCAAAATTTAAGTTTCCATGGGCAGCCTTTTGTACCTGATCTATCACTGATGACTAAAGCTGAATGCTGAAGAAATATTCCCTTTTTCTCATAATTTAACTGTGTGCCTCCACAGTGTTAGAACTGGTAAGTTAGAAAGCAATGTGGAGTAAACGACCTATTAGTCTGACCCTGTGGAAAATATTAGATTATGCAGATGTTTATGCACATCCTTTGTGTAATGGTAGAACTATTGTGTAACTTGTCTTTTTTTCTGTGAGCAAACTGACACAGGGGAAGCTGGTAGTATTATCTTCTTATCACAGAGCTCCAGAAGGATATAAATAGGGGATGGACAGTGGTATTAAAAGTTTCCTCTGAACAGAATTTCTTCCCCTAAGTTTATAAATAGAAATAAAACTTAAACAAGCTAAACTAAACAGGCCGGAATAAACACAGAACTGTGGCAGGTATTGTCATCACTGCTCACACGAGTGAATGGTCTTTTGGTTGATGAGAAAGCAAAGCTATGGAGGGACCTTAAAGATGTGCAAACTTGAGCAATGGAAATGCAAAATATTTTTCTGTGTCATAGAACACAGATGAACAGCTTAGCTCCTGATCCAGTGGAACAGGGTGGCATCAGGCATGGGAGGTGGGGGACAGACTTCTCCTTCCTGCCAGGGCCATGCCAGCCTCTCCCTGTTGAGATGCTCCTGGCTTTTGTCATCCAAAGAATGGCAAAACGTGGGTGGTAGGTGAAAAAATGTCAAGGAGGGGGATATTGATGAGGCTACTGAATAGTCAGCCAAATGCTTGGAATATTTTTCAGAACTTTTGGCAGACAATATAGGATTGCAGTTAGAAGAAAAAGGTACTTGTCTGTCTTGTTCAGTAGATGTTTCCAGCTGCTGGTAATGGTATTGGCAATAGGAGTTAATTAATAACTGGAAAGTTATTGCTTTCTAAGGCATGCAAAGATTGTGCAACTTCCACAGACATTCAGTTAAACATGTCCTGCTTTGCATCTCATTTTTTCTCATCTAAATAAACTGCAGCTTGTTCAAGAATCTCTCCCTTTCCCCATGCTCTATTATTTGCTGAACAATTTTTTCTTTTTTTTTTTTTCTCCTAAGGGGAATGAAGTATTGCACATGGCCTTTTTCCAAAATCAAAGCTCTTTAGTATAGTTAGCCTTTCTGATCCATCTTAGTACTGATATTTATACAGATGTACTGGCAAAACCAAATTTATTGCAGTATTTATTGGGCTGAATTTGAGGTTATTTATAATGTGGTTAGATGGCTATTTATTAGACATGTCACAGTAGCTATTTAACACTTCTATAGCTGTCTAGCTGCGAATACGACATAAACCAGAATTTATTGCATATTATCCAGAAAATGTTGCAGGAAGAGTAAATTGTAAGAGAGAAAGACACAATCATCAGAATAATGAAGGGACCAGGAACAAAAAAGTGGTTTTAATCAGCAATTTTTAGCCAGGCTGAGGGAGGGGAATACTTAGGATATGAGGAAGTCCAGGTGCAGATTTTAAGTCCTCTAAAGTGCACCAGCACCCTGCCTAACAGCTGACCTTTCCCTCATGAAATGGACATTTTTCATTTAGAAAAGGAAATGAGAATCATCTTCTTTGATTTGTTTTGTGCTGATTAAGTAGAGTTAAAAAGTTCTATGGGACCATTTTCTCAAGGAACAATTTCATAAAAATCAAGCATTTCACAGGTAGGTGTTACTTTGGTGTTTGTAATGTTTTGTGTTAAGGTGGTATTGACTAGTTTATTTGATTATGATGGATTCAAATGACAACATTTTTTTCATATTAGTGTTTTTCAACTCTGTGTTTCACTGTTGTGAAAGTTCATTGCACCATCAGGACACAAAACTTCAGTTTCTATTAACATCTATGGTGTTTGGATCTTTTTCTTATTTAAATCAGAAAATGAGTGCACATACTGAATGTCCCATGAAGAAATCTGGATGATCGTTTCCTGCAAGGAAGAAGAGATTGTAAGGGCAAAAAAAATCCCCAAATAATTATTAATTTCCTTTAAAAATTAGTTTCCTGAAGCCTTCAGAAAATGCGGCTTCTTTGAGAAAATAAATCCTCCATTTTCATGTACAGGCACAGACCATCTTAAAATATTTCAGCAGAAGAAGTCAGTCTTTCTGTTTAACAAATAGCCCAGTTTCTGTGGGAGGATGCGGAGGAGGGAGGAAATGAGGCCGTGGAAGGGTTTGCAGGTGTGAGGGTGAAGCTGGGCAGCCGTCGGTTTCCACTGCTCCTGAAGGTGCAGTGGAGGAGGGATGGAGCTTGGGGTGAAGGGTGTTGTCCTCCTTATTCTCCTGGCTCCTTTTGGCACTTGTGGCAAAACAGTGTGTTTGCAGATGGTGTCACTGCCGTGCTGAAGCAGCAGACTCCATCCCAGCCTTTGCCTTTCCAGCCTAATTCAAGCTGTCCATGCCAAGTCCCATGGGAATACCTTCATATGCGTAGTTAGCTCATCACAGGATGGCTGCTGTTGTGGACCAAGAAATACGTATTTATCCCTTGATTCTCGCAGGTGGAAAAGCTGAAATACTCCAGTCTTCAGATACTAGAGCCCTGAATGGCATAGGATAAGATGTTGAGTAACACAGAGGCAGGAGGTCATGGGGGAAAACTCTTTGTCCTGGTCACACATGGACTGGGGTAAGTTTTAATGATGATTTTTAAGAGTGTAGCTGCCAACAAAGCTCAAGCTAATGCTGGTGAGAAATTACAGTGGGTAATTCAAGGTAATACATTTTCCTAAATTCATTAGCTGCCCGTGGAGGGTTGAAGAGAACATAACTAAAAATAATTACATATGAATTATGGAGTTCAAATAGAATGTGTTACTCTGCTCACACAAAACTTCAAGGGAGACAAATCAGAGAGGTTTATTAGCATATTCTACTTTTTCAACAAATCTTACAAGGAAGGAAAAACATAATAATGTAAAGGAACTGAAGATTCATGTTTCCATAATAGCTGTATCTGCACTATCCTACCTGTGAAATTTATTCGCTCTGGGTGGTGATGCTGTTGAATATTTTTTATTCTCAGCCATTTTTTCCCCCTGTAAGCAGCTCTTTGAGTATGGTTATTAACCTGCAATCTTCTCTTAGCTAGAACTTTCTTTGGCCACGTTACACCTGGGCAAGGGCTCTTGCAGGGGGCAGAGGGCAGCTTGCAAAAGTGATCAGAAATACACTCACAAAAGTTCATTTTTATTTGAGCTCATTCATTCTAATTGTTCTCTTGAGGTTCAATCCAGAGCACAGAGAAATGCAAAGGGGACTCACTGGGCTGTGGGTCAGGTTTTCAGGTCACCTGTACATGGCAAGTGGCAAATAATGAGCAGCACACTGCACAGTGCCAGTTCCTCAGGCCTTACCCTGCTGATGAAGGTAAGGATTCGGCCACTGATCTCACCAAGTGCAGTCTCAGGGCTGGGGGAGAGCACAGCCACTCACATCCTCTGCAGCAAAAGGCAGTCACAGACCTTAATGATCAGCAGGCTGGTGTGTCCCAGTAGTGCAGTTGACCATGCCCTGATTAACTGGTGCAAACTGTGCCCCTGAATGTTTTCTCTCTGGAGTTGGCTCTTTTGTTGATGGCAATGGTCCAAGAAGTTGTTAGAGTCACTGCTGGGACTTGATATGATTATAAATGTATTTCCATGTGTAATTATGAGTATTGTGATGACTGACTTGTCCCTTCCACTGGTATAAACAAGTTAGGATTAATACCAGTATTATGCAAACCAAACTACATATATTGAAAACTCTGCAGGGTGGACTTTTTTTTTCTTCTCCTCTTTTTTTTTTTTGTTTTGTTTTTTTTGTTTCGTTTTGTTGTTGTTTTGTTTTGGTTTGTTGTTTTTTGTTTGGTTTTTTCCTTAACAAAATCCTTTAAGCTAGTTTAAAATGTCTGTTCTTGAAGACAGAAATGTCCTTCCCTTTAGTCTACATTAAGCACTTGGATGTGAGATGGGATTTGGAGGTCCTGGCCCACCTTCCTGTGCAAGCACGTGTGAAACATTTTGTGCTGTGGCCCCTTGTCCTACCAAACTCTGCCTTGCTTTGCCTGATTTAAAGCATGTGGGAGGTGGTTTTTGCCTTTTGTCTTTTCTATGGACACCAGCATGGTATGATCCAAGATCAGGGGTTCTGGATATCAACACAGTAATTATGATAAATGTTTGAGAACCTCTTGGTCAATTCCAAAACTCCCACCTCTTTCCATGGTGGCAGAAACAGGACCTTGGTGAGCTGCCAGCTTTTAGCACCTACTATCTCTTTCTCCATGTCTCCTTACACTTCCTAGTGTTCCTCTGCTTTCCATACATTGAGTTCTACTGTTGTCACAAAGGACCTGGAAACAGATTGTCAAGTGTAAAACTGCATGTCAGAAAAAGAAATGTTCAAGCCTGGAAAAAAAAAAGAGTTAAAATAAAAGTAATTTCTCTTACCTTCCCAAAGTTGCCAACCTTTCTGTATAAACTACTCTGTCATTAATATCATAAAGCTCTACTTTGTTCATAATTTACTACACCCTTCAATAAGCATTGTAATATTTGTGCAGGGCAAGTATATAAATCATTGTAGCCCTTCTCTACTTTTCTTACTTATCTGGTTCTTTCAAGGTCACTAACCTACCTTACAACTTTCATCTGGTTTAAATATTCAGCTATTGCCTTTTACACCTCACTTCCTTTTTCATATCCATTTGGATAAGTGCAGCTGCATCTTCTCAAGTTGCTATTGATCCATGTCTCCTTGCTACAGGTTACTAACTTCATCAGCAGTAATGATACAAATTACATCTGTTAGGGTTCACTCACACCTCTCTTTTAGAAAGAGAGACTCTTTTTTCTCATTTT